ATGGAGGCGTAAATGAGCTCGGTCTAGGCCTTGCGAATGGAGTCAGAGTACAGTCCATATCGGAGAGGAAGAAGCGTTTTTAACGTATGCTGCATCTTCCTCTGCCGACTCTCTCTCTCTCCCTCTGCGTACCTGCCCCTTTTCCGTACGCCCCTCGCAGCCATCACCGCGTTCGCAGCCACGCCTCCACAAGCCATCAGACATGGACTGTTCAAAGGAGCTGAAAGCGTCTATAATTCTGCTGGCTCGCATAACTACTTGCTTTAAGCTAGAAACAGATCCAGTGTTTTTATAGTTACAATGGGGATTGAGTGCGCTGCATATGCTTCAGAAATGATGCGCTACTCAGAAAGCTCGTAAAGATAAACAGAGAAGGGAAAGTAGCGACATTTGCTGCGCGGGATACGCCATCATTTTCTTCTCTCGAGCGTAGATCTCGTTCGGGAAAAGAAGAAACGTCTAACAATCGAGACAGTGACCTAATAGGACAGTCTTCATGCTGCTGCTGTAATCGCTACAATATTCAGCCAATATTCCAATTAGCCCAAATTCCAAGTGCATTCGAAGGTGGTCATCAGAATGATCGATGAGTCAGAGGCACGTTTTAGGGTGGCGCACCAAACACACAAGGTCGCGCCTCGTTCTCTCTCGTTTTACATTTCGCTCTCGGTCTCTGTAACCTGTTTTTCCCATGTACAGACATCATTGTGTAAAATTGCCATTTAACGTCTTACAATCGATTTTCTGTGCTATCGTCCTCTCTCTATGTGAAATGTTTACCTTGTTTCAGTAATGTCAGATCTAATCTCAACATAATTTGCTGTGGTTTAGAGGTCCTTCCTGAGAGTATCTGTCGGAAGTGACTGCCCTTGTGGTCTTGTGTCGATAACTGCTATTCGTTAGGGGTGGAGTACAGAGTAGGTGAACTTTGTAAATTCCCAAGGAATGCGCCGTGCCTTGTTGTCTTGCATTACAAACAGTGGGATGTCTAAATGTCCATACGATCTGCATGAGCCAAACGGTGTTGAGCAGGGCGAAAAATACACAGTGTGAAGCAAATCTCTTTCGTATCGTCTTCTGCGCTGCTCTGCCTCTCTTCTCCACCTTCAGCCCGGTAGAATACGTCAGGGACTGGGAAGATGGGTGGAGTTATTAGTTTGTCGTAGTACTAGTAACATTCAGAAAGTGACCTTAGACAAATGGTACGATCAATCGACAAGGCGTGAGGGTTAATAATCCTCGCACGAAAGAATACTCTGCCTTTACGCAAGCGTGCGTTACTCCTGTTCCCAACTAAGACCGCCGTTTTTAGTGCCTTGCTCTCCCTACTACCATTTTGAACCAAGTGCGAAATGATCGTGCCTTATGTCTCTGAGGTGTAATTGGCATGAAAGGGATAGTAACAAAGGAGCAGCTCACTAAGGCGGGATCCAAGATCAGGTCCCAGATCGGCTCCCACCTGGGTCATCCGACCCCTCGATCCTTCCGGTGCTGATTCAG